CCCCCCCACCCCGCCCCGGTTGCACTTACTTCCACTGTACTTAGGGACCCAACGCACAGTGGGAAGCAGACCGTTGATGTTGAAATGCTTCCCGTCAAACTGAGCACACTGTTCATCTCGGAAGTCTCGCTTCTGCTTGAGACATGGCTCTGTGTTGCAGGACTTAAACTTCATCCTACGTCCTACACAGTACTTCCCACCATTTTTGGGCCTGGGGAAAGGGAAAGAACACACACACTGTATTGCCAGGGATTTCTCCCCACATCGCTCTCTCATCCGTGGCTTCCTGTCTCCCAGGGAAGCATGTCTAAAAGGAGCTGATGACAGAGGAAAGGACTGAGGCTCTGAAATCTGCATGTGCATTCTGCTTTCATTACCATGAAGTGTATGACCTTGGGCAAGTCACTTAGCTTAGCTTCTGAGTCCAGACGCCTCAGCCCCTCCATCTATAAAAACGGGAAGGGGTTATTGAGTAAGGCAGTGCTGAAGATGAAACGTTAGAGCACGTAACTTCAAGTTTGAAATACAAAGCCTGGGATCTGTTGGGCAATAATCTGTCCTCTCTCTCCTGAAAATGCAGTCCTTTGGTTTCCAAAATGTGGAAGGTAAAAGGCCCAGAGGAGTCACTGGAATGCTCCCTGTCTACTTTTTGTAACATGACAGTCTCACAGGAGACCAGCCTAAAACCTGTGCTATTCTACTTACATTCATTCTCTCCCTCCCTCCCTCCTTCTCTCCACCCTCACAACCATTGTTTTTCTTTGTTTTGTCTTACAAGTGAGACGGAGTAAAAGGAACATCCCCATATTGTGACTAACTTAATAGGAAGAGCAGGAAGAGCAGACTGGTTTCATTAACTTTTGTGTGACGAGAGCACGGAGGGTGCCTTGCACAGCACCAGAGTGTAAATTTCATCTCGACATGCAAGCCCGAATTAGATGAAATTCAAATGTACATGTATTTTCCAGATGTGACCCAATGACTAAATTATACAACGTTTCTCCTAGCAGTCCACAGCTTGCCAAGTTCATCATGGAAACGGGAAGATCAGAGAATCGTAGGAAGTTGGGCTCGCCCACCCAGGGCTGGAGCAGGTCGGATTTCGCAGCTACTCTACAGACATCTCTGAAACGGAAAGGAAGTTTTCCACTTTTCTTCTTTAAAATGAATCTTTCAGGGCAATTTGGAGCATACAAAGGGGTTTTTTGGTTTGTTTTGTTAAGCTGGGACCTGGGTGAATGGGAAAGACATCCGTGCCCATTTATACAACAAGAGCCAGTCCAACAGAACAGGTAAGGCTCTGGAGCTAGAGCTGGGTTCCAGTCCCGACCCTACCCTCGGTGCATGACTTTAGATGAAGTTCTGAAGTTCTCAGCCCCGGAGTATCAGTTGCCCCCCTGTCTAAAATGAGCACAAATAGTAGATGCTGAAAATGTTAGCTACTGTGCTAATATGTCAGCACCCCCAACCTAATCTGATCTAACCGTGCACTTTGAGTACCGAATCTGCGCTAAGACACGGTGTGCAGCGTGAAAGGCAGGACTCAGTGCTCCTGCAGAGCACCAAGCGTCAGGAAGGGCCACCCGCCATGATACTGTTGCAACGCGCTCCCTAGATCAAACACGCGGAGACTAAGGGAGGAGCATGGGCTTTGCAGCCACACACTGGACACCTTTGTGGGCACTACCTGGCCTCTCTGAGCTCCATCCTGCATACAGAACAGAGATGATATTGTACACCTGCCATGGAAAGCTCAGAATCTGGGAAGCTTAGTAAGGAGGCGGATAAATATTCAGTTATTTATCACAAAGAAAACTGTATCTAAGGATACAACATGGCACCTAACCCAACAATAACTGCGTCTCATTGTTTCTCCGTGAAACACAATTAAGCCCATATGCTTTCTAGCTCCACTGTGCACTTGACTCCCTAAAATACACTCCTATCTTGCCCAAGGGTAAGGCAGAGGCAGTATTTTTATATCGAGCAACAGGAAGTTCAGAGAAGTCAAGTACTTTGTCATGATCACACAGATAAAAAAAGAGAAGAGATAGGACTAGAATTCTAAATTCCCTGGGTTCTTCTCTGTGCTCTTTCTGCTACATTATCCAGGAACTATGGTCAAGACTTTTTTTTTTTCCTTCCTTTTTTGGTGCCATTCAGAGATAGAGCCTTGGCTTCCTGAATTCCCAGCTCTTCTCTAAGTACCAAGACGCCCTAGTCCCATGCACACAATATCACAGATGATACATGAGTAACAGATCAGGCCCATATACCTGTTCAGGGGAAACGCATTTTAAATGTGCTGCATGTAAGACCTCTTGCAATTTTTCCTCAGATTGAAATGATCTTTGCGGAATCTTCTTAAAAGGCCCACTAACTATGCAGGATTGATCGTTTATTTATCGCCTGACAGTAGCTCATTTTTCTTTTTGAAATTAAATATTCAAAAGTTGGTTCTTTTCTTTTGGCTCTCTTATACAACAAGTCTTAATGCACCCCAGAAACGGCCCACATGTAGCAGTTTTTTGGGCTGTGAATAATAAATACTTACAGGTAGTTTCCCTTCAGAGGAAAGGGACGTTTGCTTTTGACCACTATCGAGTGGCAAACAGACTTACTTTTATAAATGACATTTTGAAAAAACAACACACAGAAAACACTCCATGGGAGAGGCAGTGTCGCTGAGGGTCATAGGTGGGGACTGTGAAAACAGAGGGTTTGAATCCCAGGCCTGCCTCTTAATAATGGTGCAGTCTTGGGCAAGTTGCTTAATCTTTTGAAGGATCAGTTTCCCTATCTGTAAAAGGGAGATGATCCTAGTATCTACTTCATCAGGGTAAGCGAGGGTCAGCTGGGTTAATACATTCAAAGCACTTGAACAAGGCCTGCCACACTGTAAATGTTTAGCTATTACAAGAGCCTGCCAACCACAGCCTGTGGACCAAATCCTGTCCACTTCCTGTCCTTCCCTGGCTGCGAGATAAGAACGGCTTTTCTATTTTAAAAAATTAAGGAAAAGGGTGCTTAGGTGGCTCAGTCGGTTAAGGTTCTGACTTCGGCTCAGGTCGTGATCTCACCGTTTGTGGGTTTGAGCCCCACACCAGGCTCTGTGCTCACAGCTCGGAGCCTGGAGCCTGTTTTGGATTCTGGGTCTTCCTGTCCCTGCCCCTCCCCTGCTCTCTCTCTCTCTCTCTCAAAAATAAACATGAAAAAATTTGATTAAATGAATAAAAAATAAAAATTTAAGAAAATACAAAACATATTTTGAGACACATAAGAGTTAGATGAAATTCAAAGAGTAATATCCATAAATAAGGTTTAATTGGCGTGTAGCCACACTCAACCCTTCACATGTCACGGATGTCTGTCTCTCACTGTATCAGCAAGGTTGAATAGCTGGGTCACAGACGCTCTGATCCTCAAGTCTGAAACACTTACTGAGTGTTTTGTGGCAAACACGTTCCTTTACGGTAAAGGTCTGCCCACCCGTGAGCCACTCTTGCGTGCAAGGCACCATGCCACTTTCTGTGACCGTGTCCAGCCGTGCTGTGAGGCAGGTAGTGGCAGCCTTGCTCCTGAAGGCTTGTTTGAAATTGTTTCAGAAGTGTTAGGTAACCTGGCAAGGTGACATGTCCATCAGGTGAGACCTGCTGGTCGACGGACCAACGCAGGTCTCCCGGATTCAAAGCTCATGATCTGGTGTCTTTCCTCGGCTTCCTCTCTTGAGACAGGCCTCTTTCCATATCAAGACTCATTCTGTGACTCTGCTATTTTTTATGTAAAGACAGATTATATTTTATCAACAAACTTAAATTTGCCCTCTCAGAACATGTGCCTTTTCTCTTATCCCAGAGTACCTCTGCCTGATTTGCAATGACTGTAACGGGGAAGGCGGTAGCCAACCTAACTTACATTTCAGCATGGAAAAAATTCATGCTGTAATTTAATAATTTCGCTGGATGGGAGTATTTTTTTTCCATGTAGACAAATAATAAAAATTAGAAGAAATGCAGCTTTAAAAAATAGTATTAACCACGGGGCGCCTGGGTGGCTCGGTCGGTTGAGCCTCCGACTTCAGCTCAGGTCATGAGCTCACGGTTTGTGGGTTCGAGCCCCACGTCGGGCTCTGTGCTGACAGCTGACAGCTCAGAGCCTGGAGCCTGCTTCGGATTCTGTGTCTCCCCCTCTCTCTCTGCCCCTCCCCCAATCATGCTCTGTCTCTCTCTGTCTCTCAAAAATAAATAAAAATGTTAAAAAAAAAATAATTAATTAATTAATTAAAAAAAATAATATTAACCACATTTTCCTGCTATTAAGATCCTTTAAAACATTGCAGGTCAAATACAGATGGAAAGGACTTAATGAAACTGCTAGGTTAATTACTATGAAAGTAACTATATTCAGCACAGCTGAGCTGAATCTTTCTTCCAGGCACATAGTACACAACCATGCCTATTCATATACAAAGAAAATTCATGATACTGCATGGCCAAAGCTATGAAGGAATTTTTGCAAAGATCACCACACGTGCGTTCACCCTCCAGGAAAGCTAAATTTTGGTCGGCAAATGGGTTTGAACAGAAATCTCAGCTTCTGTGAACACTTAAAATGAATGGCAGCAGGCAGATTAGGGTTAGCACAGGGAAGGAATTTCTAACGATTCGACAGGCAGCCCCAGAAGGTAGTGTGTTTCCTATGCTGGGAGGGTTTTGGGAAGAGGTCTAATGGACAACTGCAGTGGATGCTGAAAGGCTATTCAGGGATTAGATGGGATGGGCCAGAGAGCTATACTTGCAATCATTAATGATCCTTCTGAATAGAACAGTCTAAAGGCCTGGATATCTTTATTCATTCATTAGTTAATAGCTTTCCCACAGCAACTAATTCTTGAATTTTGAAATACGCTCACCCAACTCAGTGCCTGAAGAAAAAAAAAAACAAAAAAAAAAACGTTGCTGGAACTCTTTCCAGCCAAATGAACGATTCGTTTCCTTAGATGAAATAGACACCTATTACCTTGCTCGTATGCCAGATTTCATAAGCAGTTACTATGGTGAAAGCCTAAATGGGAAAATATCTAGTTCACAATCTTTTCCTCACACCTATGAGTTTCTTAGTTTTTAATTTAACTTACCTCCTAACTTAAAAGCAAAACAGAAGCACCAGAAGAGGGAAGGGAAGCACCAGTTCTTTCCCAAAGAACTGGGACAATTTTTTTTTTTTTGATGGACTGTAAAAACTGTATACCTTTTTTTTCCTAGCTACTAGGATGCTCAGAGTCAATTCAGAGCACGAAATAACAAGTGTAGGGCCCCACGGCCTGATAAATGCGACTTCTAGTTCCAACGGTGGCTTTGTTTTGGTACCCTAAGTTATGCTTTTGGCAGTTATGATTTTAGGTTTTACTGTATTACATGTTTCTTACAGCTATAATTGGGTGATAATGTAGTTAATTGTTCAATTCAGGACACTTAGAGAATGTAAAGGGTAGCTATGAATAACTTCTCCTGGACAACAGACGTAAACTGGGACTGTGTTTACAAATCAGAACATAAGCTCTTATCTACAGGGCATGGGTCAAAGATGGGATTAAAATATAAATAAAACATTTAAAGACAAAATATTAGGGCCCTATTCTCATGATGGCAAATCAGCAGGACCGCCTACTAGTTGAGACCAAACACCTTTTGACCAAAATCAGAAAGCATCTGGTTTCCACAGCTTGTTCACGAGTATGCCGTTATCCCATGTGTAGGACAAGGCTATTTCTCTTTTGTAACTTTTACGCTTTCAAGGGAAACAACCCTAAAAATACAGCGCAAACTATGGATGTTAAATACATTCTTGAATCGCATGAATACTGTGAAAAAAAAAAATAAAAACAACTCAGGGTCTTAATAGAGACATACCTTGGACTAAAAATGGGGCTCTACATTATATTCAAAAGGCTCCTCAACCCGGGAAGAGGCAGGTTGCCAGCTCCAGGGGCACCACTTCCCTCAAACGCCTTGAGAGTCAGCAGCAACTACTACTGATTCCTGCATAATGAACCATCTGCTCTGTGAGTTTCTCTGAACGAGCTTTCAAACTGAGATTTGGATCTGATTTTCCCTGTTCTGTGTCCCTTTCTCTCGTCAAACTGACTTCCTCAAAGTTTTCGGAGGCAGACTCCTTCCTCAATTCACAGGGACATCCCAAAGTGCAAATAACTTGGCAGCGCTTTCATGAAATGGTGTCAGGGCTGACAGTCAACTGGGGGGATTGTATTCTTTTAAAACCTCCCATAGCAAACAGCAAGGACAAGGACCTCTAATTGAAGTCTTTAATGATCAGCCCCTAACTTGTGAATGCACGGATCTTTGCTTCACTTGGAGGCTCGAGATCCTTTCCTGCTGAGATCTTTACGCTGGTGATTTTCTTTGTCTGGCTCGTTCCAATTATGAAGTGATTTATCTCTCTCCACTTTCTACATTACCTCTAGAATTGCTCGAAGACTTTAAAAAAAAAAAAAAAGACCAAACAATTCTTTTCAACGACGTATGCTTGAGTCACCATTTCAAAAATGCCTACTGTTGGCAACAGTCATATCCTCACGACAATAACAGCTCACTAAGATGGTAATAATGTGGCTCCACGTAGCTACTGCATAGTTCTTAAGTTTTTTTAAAAAATGTGTCATATTTGCTATTAGCTTCAAATGCTTTATTCTAAAGCTTCAATAATACCAACAGCTAAGATTTGTAATTGACTTGAAAGAAGCAAGTAGTGGAATACTATATATAATATGATCCTTATTTTATATCTACAGAATACTTATTTCATATAATACATATTACATGACAAATCTTTTTTAAAAGTCCAAAGTGATGCACGTCAAATCATTTTTCCCCAGTGATTTCTTGCAGGGAGTAGGTGGGAGGGAGGAATGATGATGACAGATTTTTTGTATTTCATATCGTTCTGCGTCTGAATTTTTTGAAAGCATGTACTAGGTTTAAGCTATTACTTAAATAACTAACAGAAACTATAGACTCTATTGATCATCTACTGTTTACTCTTTATACCCATAGCTACAGACTATAGTCTGTGTCTTAGAGCTCTTTGGTTGTCTTTACAGAGGCTAATATCACATGGACATGAAATAAAGGTTGGACTGTGGACAAAAATAAAGGGAAACAAATGGATTGTCATTTGTGATGTGCACGAATGAGTATTTATTAGGCCACGGCTGGCAACAGTGGCCTAAAGGTACGTTCTTTACTGGTGAACACAATTCAGATTTTCCTTTTTTTAAAAAATTTTTTTTAATGTTTATTTATTTTGAGGGAGAGAGAGAGAGACAGAGCATGAGCAGGGAAGGGGCAGAGAGGGACAGAAGGAGACACAGAATCGGAAGCAGGCTCCAGGCTCCGAGCCGTCAGCACAGAGCCCGACGCGGGGCTCGAACTCACAGACTGCGAGATCATGACCTGAGCCGAAGCTGGATGCTCAACCGACTGAGCCACCCAGGCGCCCCGATTCAGAATTTTCTTATGAAAAAACTGGAAGCTTTGCCAACACGAGGCCCCTTTCCTACCTGTGAACAACCAGCTAAGTCTGAGGAGCACCTGTACGTGGTTTCTACCACCTTCTTATACAACCCTATCATACCATCCCAGTATATGCATACATTAATATACTCATCGTGCTATGCTACCCTAATATACGGCACCCACGTCCCTGTTGTACCTGTGTGCTTCTGTCTACAATTCAGTTGGCTACCCCAACACAGTCTGTGAAAAAGAAATGAATACTACCGGATGAAATCACTTTACCTAATCCCAAAACAGCTGGTTCTTAAATATGGTTATCGGTGCATACATCTAAAAACTATTACTAGTCTACGAAGACTTCTTGGCCCCCTAGCCTATACAGGTTTGATGGCAATAACGTGATGTATTAGCTTCCAGTCCTTCAGATTTGATACATCTTGGAGTCACACAAAATTTGATGTCATTCCTTATCATCAAAATCTGATTTTTTTTAAATCTACTTATAAATACGCACGCCTCCTGGGCTAGATGCCGGGGGAAAAAAAAATCAACTTCATTTGAACATGTGCTACAAGGCTAGGCTGGTCACATAAGGAGAATTATCCTGAAAGGCAGGATACTCCCAGGCTGTATACTGTCTAGTTGTAGGATGGGCCTTAGGTGTCTTCCCCGTAAAACAACTAACTTGATTCTAAAAGTAATTCCTGACTTGAGGTTCTCAGTCCCTTAGAGTCTGCTATCACGATGGGGCTCCTTGTGCCCTGTCCAACATCTCAGTAGCTAACAGGAAAGGGTACAAGTCACCTACAATCTAGATGGAAATGTCCAGTTTCTTCATTTCCTCAGGAAAACCTGTTTCCCTTCGTTGGCCAGCTATACCAAGCTCTGGAGGCAGGGAGATATGCCCGACTGTCAAACTGTGAAACAGACCAACCAACACAAAAAGCATCTACTGGGGTAGACCGAAGTCTTAATGGAGGATGGTGGGAGAAACTAATGCTACAGAAGACAGTGCCCGGAAATAAACTGATTGGATACCACCAGTCTAAGCAGCCCTAGAAAGGCACTTACTCTCTACCAGGGAAAGAGTTTTCCATCTGCTTCCAGCCGAACGATTCCCTTCCGGAGGGCTCCCGTCGGGCCATCCCAATAATGACAGCAAGGAGTTCTAGGACTTACTCTGGTCTGTTGCACTCACGAATGGCAGTTTTGATGCCCCCTCCACACGTTCTTGAGCAGGTTCCAAAGTGACTCCAACTTCCCCAGGATCCATCAGTCACAGGGACCTCCATTTCTTTGGGAACACAAAATCCAAACTTGCAGTGCTGTGTTTAATAAGGGGAACAGTGAGGGAGAGCTCGGTGCTGGAGACGTGATAGGACCCACTGTCCTTTTGATTATATGGCATACTTCATCCCCCCCACCCCACCTCTCCCGCCACACGCTAGTTTGAAATGCTGCCATTTCATCATCTACATGAATAATGAAAACTGTAGGGATTTTAATCTCATCCCTATTGATTTTAGGCCATGTCTTCATTTACCACTTGCTTGAATAAAACTAACCAATGAGTGGTTGGTTCCAGGCTCTCAGGGTAACTCCAGTGGCCAGGCTCAAAGCGCTCAATTAGTCTATTTGGAAAAGTGAGGAGAGGAAGCGGGCAGACTGGCTGCAGACGGGGCCAAAGTGAGTTACTGGATTTGCAGAGCAAATGTCCATTAAGAAGGCTCAAAGATGCTGTGAGCCTGGTAAAATATGTTTTATTGCTCCCCGCAGATTCGAAAAGCCAATTTTAATTAAGTGGCAGAGAAAAGAAAAAAGCACGTTAGAGGATTCCTATAAACTCCCTCCACCAAAGCACACAGGATGAGACTAGAGCAAAATGGACATATTCCAGAGAGCCCTAAACTTTATTGCTTTTTTTGTTACTAATGGTTTCAGATTCTCCAGCCTGCAGCAGGAAGAAGGCCATGATGCTTAAAACAAAACCAAACAGAATAAAACTCCTCAGCAGGACAAGGGATTCGAGAAGCCCATTTCAACCCTCTGCCATTGTTGGGGTGTGAGGCCCTGACACAAAGCGAGGTCACGGAGCAGCGGACAAAGCGCTGGCTGCAGTGGCGGCAGGAGGGTGATGCCCCGCAGCTTGCTCAGATCTCTGAAGTGAAGCTGGTGGTGGCTGGCTGCCGTGATTTATCTGCAGGGAGGGCAGAGGCAGAGGCAGAGGCCCACCGAGGCCGGGGCCGGGGGTGGGGTGGAGGGGGGAGCGTGCTGGGAAAATGGACGACAAATAAGATGCAGGGGAAGGTCCCAGACTGTACGGGGCGGCCACACAGAAGGCTCAGCCAACAATGACTCAAAGGGTGCACTTAGGCTTTCTCTACTTTGCAGACTTTTGCAGGCTTTCTCTACTTTACTCCCTCGTAATTGTTCTCTTAGAGCATCTGAGGACGGCTCCCTTTCCCTGGGCTGTGAGGCAGAGGCTTAAAACGTTGTGCAGAGAACTCTGGGCAACTCTGGACCCGAGAAAGGCGGGCGGAGGAAGAGGGACAATGGCACTTCCCGAAATCATTTTGGATTTGTCTCCACAAGGGTCTTGAACGTTTATTGGAACATACACACATACGAATAAAGGAGAGAGGTAGTAGCTTGATCTAGAGCACCACCATCCAATGAGAATGTACCAGAAGCCACACACCTAAGAAAAGGTTTTTAATATCTAGAAGCCACCTTAAAGCAAGTAAAAAGAAAACTGAATTTTAATATGTTTTTACTTAGCTCCAAGTATCTGAATAGTATTACTTCTGTGTGCGATCAATGCACAATTTGGTTTTTTGCACTCTTTTTCTCATACTCGGTCTTCAACACCTGCTGTATGTTTTCTCTTAAGCACATCTCAGGTTAGGACTGACATGTGAAGGGCTCATTAGCCATGTGCGGCTACTGACTGCCATGCCAGATGGTGCAGGTCTTAGAAAGACAAAGCTTGGAAGGCCAATGGTCTCGTGGTGAGCGGGGGCTCTGCCACAAACTCACTCTGAGACCCTAGGTGAGTCCCTGACTCTGTTTCCACAGCTGAAAACGGACACCAACCTGCAAAGTTGTCGTGAGTATAACACTAGAGACAGTGTATCTAAAGCACCCAGTACACAGCTATGTAAGTCAGGGGACCTGACTAAATAAAGTTAGTAAGATAATGACAAACATTTATACAACTCTTAGCTGTGACACATATGCTGCCTTCCCGATGGCGAGCAAATGGAAATAATTTTTGACATTAAATAGTGAAAAAAAATTGTAAAAAGGCAAGATTAATGACATAGTTAAGTGAGGCTGAGACCCCAAGCTGCCTACCCAATATCCATTCTCTCCTATATCCTTGGTAAAAGAATCTGTATTTCCGCAGATTCTTGCACAGATCAGAGAAGTCAGCAGACTTCATTGGGTGACATTCCTGGGAAGGTCTTTCTGCCCCTTTGTCCCCTGCCCCTTGGCTTCATTCTGCCTGGAACACCCACTTGATGGCTGGAGTCGCTGCAGCCATTCTGTGATCTTGATGAGGAAATTCATTTGAATATGAGAGCAGAACAGGAAGACGTTAGGAACCTACGTCTCTGCCTGATGATTTGTGGAGCTGCCACAACAGTTCTATAACCTGTCTAGTTCAGGACTAATTTTTTTGTATGTGTCAGAAAAAAGAGCCAATTTGCTTACATTACTGTAATTGGATCTGACCTAAACAAAATCTTAATTAATATACAAATGGGGTCATAGCTGATGACTCTCAAATCCAGCCCTCAAGGCCAGCTGCTAAAAACATGTTTTACAAACTCTACAAAATAATGAGAAATTCCTATACTTACAATTAAAAACTGATCTGCAAATCAAATATTCCTTACTGATGTGATCACTGATGCGCAGGAAGGGAAGGAGAAGAAGAACCTTAGAATAACAGGAGAAGTGGGGCACCTGGCTGGCTCAATCCAAAGAGCATGTGACTCTTGATCTCAGGGGTCTTGAGTTCAAATCCCACATTGGGTACAGAGCTTATTGAAAACAACAACAACAACAACAACAACAACAACAACAACAACAACAGCAAGAATAGGAGAAGTGCCTGGAAATCAGAGCTGTTTGGCAGATACGTCCCAAGAGACTCTATTTCACCAGGAAAATTCGACAAATAATTACATAGTGGAAGAGCCATTACTTCATAACAAAGTGCTAAGCAGCTGGTGGAATCCAAGCCAAAATATAGTCAGCCTTTTTTAAAGGTATCCAGGACCATTTAAACGATAGTTTATATAAATGCATCTTTTTTGAGAGGTTGGAAGAGGTAGGTTTTGTCCCAAGGAGACTTAAAACCAGAGTTTCATACCTCAGACTCACAAAAAGGGTTAAAATGAAATGTTAATGGACTTAACAAGAGAATGGAGAAAATAAAGACAATTAGAGTCATTCATCAAAATAACATCGTGTCAGCAGCTCAAGACAGATCACTGCTGAGGGAGCAGGGCAGAAAGAAGAGAAAGAAACAAGAAATTAACCCCACAGCAAAGGGAGTCCGAATCGGCTGGAGAAAAGGCATATGGTTTTACTGCTAATTCTAAGAAAAGAAAACAAAACAAAATGGAGGAAAAAAGAACACCAAGGATTTCTACGCCAACAATTCCACCATCTTGGGCATTTGCAAAATGCATAAAGGCTCTTCAGGGAAATAAACACACACGTGCCCGCATCTTTAATAAAAGCTGCTGGACTTGGATACTTTTTCTAAAACAGAACCAACAGCTACCTATCGTGTTCTCCGCATAGTTGCTTCTCTGAGAGTGTTCTGAGCCTGCCCTCTGGAATGCCTTGAAGTCTTTTGCTCTTGCTAAACATAAGCATACAGAGAAAAAGACTTCTGAAAGATCTACCAAATTTCCCCATCCCTCAGGTATAAGATTACCCTGCAACCCCTTATCTTCTGCTTCTGTTACGAAAACAGAAGATCAGAAAAAGATACGACAAATGTCCTCCCAACTTCCTTTGTGTTTCAGGGTTGACTGGGATGCCACAATGCTACGTTGACGTTGGTAGCCCATTCGCGGCACTATCACTAAATACAATCCACGTCATCCTATTACTGAAAATTCTTTGTTACGGTTTTTCCAGCGATAACGTGCATGAGAAATGGACATAGCAGGTGGGTACGTCAGATTGACTAAGGACCACCACGGAATAACACCAGTGATTTTTCTGGGATCAAACAGAATCAATTTAAGCAACCTAGTTAGCTGGCTCTAACTCAAGCCAACCAACCAAGGCGTCACCTAGGTCCAATCTAGGAACCACTTGCATCGATGGTCTGTCTGGATCAATGGAAACCTGAGAACCATATTCTCACTCAAACCTGTGATCTTCTAGCCATCAACACGTTGAGATAAACGTCCTGCAAAAAGTGAAGAATTCTCTCTGGCCAAGGAGAGCAATGTCTTTCGAAGTTCACGAAAGGTGCAAAAGCTACTGTGCCCACGTCCATATATAGTTTTGGTTAGGTTGTTATTGGGGAAAGCTGTATTCTCAAGTGCTGAGGTCCTTAGCCATCAAGAAGTGACAACATGAGCTGACAGAGTCACCAAGTAAGTCAGGTATAAAATCAGCTTCATTGTAATTTTTAATTTTTTGTACTGAACTTTGTAATTTTTCAAATAACTTTCATACTCGCCAGCTCGTGTAACTTTACAACCACTCTGACACACGAGTAAAGAAGCCACCGGTCTTTCTGCTTGACCACTGGGACCAAAGGAGCTCAGTGGGCCTGAGGTATGGCAACCATAGTAGATGCTTCAGACAAAGCAGAGGAGAAAAAGAGGGTGGGGAGGGGCTTGGGTGTATGGGGACACTGCCCTGATGAGCTGAGTGACCTTGGGCAAGTCACTTCTTTTTTAAATTCCCTATCTAGAAGATCAGGGAAGGGAGAGTTCAAGTCTGTCATTTCTGAGGACCTCTTCTATAGACACATCCTGAGGGCTACTAATTCCACAAGGGAAACTAGAGGCAAATGAAATGAGCCAAGAACAGAATATTCAAAGTGAGGAAAGTGGACAGAGGGAAGAAGAGAGAAGACAGGAAAAATCTATGTAAGGATGACAAGAGACTCAGAAAATAGTCCCAGGACTGCAGCATTGGTGAGTGTAAGGACACCATTTCCAAAGGGATAAAATCAGATCTAAAACTTCTTGTAGCCAACTTTTTTGTGATGATGATGATGATGGTATCACTGATACACTAACTTTTTTATTCTTGCAGTGGAAAGCAAGTACAGAAGGTGGCATTGATCATATTCTTAGGGGTGTGGATGCATCGTTATTTCCGGGCTGTACGAGTAGCAGATTTTGTTTGGTCATTAACAGATAAGTGGGAATAAGTGCAAATTCAGAATTTGCATTTGGATATATCCCAAGCGACCTCACAGCTCCTTTAAGGGACCAACACAGGCTGGGACAATCCTGGTATCCCACTAGTGAACAAAATAAGTTCACGGTATATCTGCGTTTCTTTGATTTTAAGACCCTCCATCAATTTAAAAACAGCCTTCCATTGCCGCCCCCCCCGCCACCTCCTGCAAAAGAGAGAAAAGAAAAAGGAACACCGTCTCGCATTAAATGTACCCATACACTGAAAAGCACATTGGGATTTGAGGGAGGCTAAAATGAGAGAAGGGGGGTTTTCAAATTGAGGCAATAATGATGGCTCGGTGTCTTGCAGCATTATTGCACTGTAATGTAAGTCTTCCCAATTTTCAAATGTAAAGTTGAACCTCCTGGCCCCAAAAGGTATTACGCATGCTAAAACACACTGCGTCAACTTCTATTCTAAAGGACGGCGACCAAGCTGACAGCTACAGTTTTGCCCGTTTCTGCCGCCCCGAGACAAAAGAACGGATTGGGGTGCTACTTGCCTTTCCAGGCTCACACTCTGTCCCGTCTGCCCAGGGCGTGTGCTGAGTCCGGCAGCCTTTGTGCGCTCCGTCCACATTATGGCACCAGAGCCGTCTACACTGCATCTGCTCAATTGCGTTAAACAAAAATTCAGCGATTAGACGTTATGGGACCAGGCAAGGACTGCTTTCAACTAACGTTTGGCCGGCGAGAGAGGGTGGGTTGGAAAGGGATTGGTTTTTTTCCTTGCCATGATGAATGATAAAATATTCCAAAGGCTTAGAGGGCAGCCCGTGAGACACATTTCGACGTCTGGTAGGACTTCAGATGGTGTAAAGGGGGAATCTTTGCCATCATGAGTAATGCAGAAAGGAATATAATCATGGACAAATTTTACTAAAAATGTTTACTATCTCCCTGGAATCCCTGTGTTTCCCAATTCACCATGCTATCTCGGAAGTCTCTCCCTCCAAAACAGCCAAACAGACTCCCACGGGAAGGAAAGGGGGTACCTTATGGAAGCACACTTGCACCCTGATAACCAATGGATAGCATTGGTCCAAGTGCCCACAGCGCAGAGATTAAAATATCCCACACCCACCACTTGAGCTACTGCCAGAAATGATCTCAAGCCCCACATGGTCACGGGACACGGCCCTGACAAGCTGAAACCGGGGAATAGGTTTGCCTCATGAACCGGCTTCGCCGAATCTAGAAGATTCTGTGTGGTGAAGGTCACCCCGACAAGTCAGGGGAGATGAAAAGAGGTTAAGGAGAGAAAAGGGCTGAGCTGTGCCATCACCAGCTCTGTGACCCCTTCCTCTCTGAGCTCATTTTCCACCTGAAAAATGAAAATGATAATGGGGATCTCTCTTTTGGGCTGGCATGACAGGGTAATGAGAATGTGTAGGTGAAGTACCACCCAGCAGCAAGCACTATTCCTACTTGATCACCAACATCACTATTACTATTGTCCTGAACAGCCAGTGGACTCTTCTCAAGTTTACCATGAGTGGCTGATGTTAGACTAAGAAGCCAGTGGGAAACTGTGAATTAAAAATGCCAGAATCAGGGCACCTGGGTGGCTCAGTCGATCAGGCATCCGACTCGTGGTTTCGGCTCAGGTCATGACCTCGTGGTTTCGCGAGTTCGAGCCCCTCATTGGGCTCTGCACTGGTGGCACAGGGCCTGCGTGGGATTCTCTCTGTCCCCTTCTCTCTGCACCTCCCCCACTCGGACTGTCTCTGCCTCTCTCAAAATAAGTAACTAAAATGTAAAAGTGTTAGAAAACTGTCCAGAATCAAGGGATGAGGGCAGAGATGGCCCCACACACTTACCATATATGGGCACACCTGAGAACCTGGTCCAAAAATCAATTCACATTGTTTATTCACGTTGTAAAGGAGGCCCGGCAGTTGGGGAGGCAGAGGGTAGCGTCTGGCTTCAGGTTCATTAAGCAAACACTCACCGTAACCAGTGCTGTGAAAGCAGAAAAACACAGATGGTGAGAGCATTGGATGAGATGTGGCTGTCAAAGGCTCCAGATGAAAGTGAAGGCCATCCCGCCTTTTAAAGGTAGAACGGATAGTTTATTTTTCAAATGTGCTTTACTCTGTATATCCCAGGCTAAACTCGAGGAGCTGAAGTTCTATTTTTGGCATATACTTGTTTGTGGATCTGCTGGCTATCCATACAATATAGTCAGTAGGAAATATGTAGTTTTCCTAGCATTTATCACATTTTGGGGCAATTACCTATTATTATTTGCTATCGTCTCCAATAGACTGCAAGCTTCTTAGGGGCAAAGATACTATCTTTTTCATGTGCGCATGGGGCTCTAAACATTATAGCAACAGGTCTTAGTAAGTGTTTGCTGAATAGATGAGTGAGTCAACCTACAACCATAGTAAGCAACCCTTCAGATCATCTGGTTAAAAAGAAAAAACAGCAACCCTCCACTTCTTTGACTTTTCTGCAAACACCTCTTCTGGAAAATTCACACCTGGTGAGTTCTGATTAATAAGCCCCCTCTTCCCTGTGGCTGAAGAAATATACACCCAGTGACCTTGGACAATCACTTAACCTTTCGTACATCTGGGAGAGAACAGCAATAAATCTGTGACACAGGGATATTGTATAATGTAATTGGATCTCTGAACTGCCTGGCAGGAAGCTTAAAAAACAAAACAAGAAAAGAGAGGAAAGAAGGAGAGAGAGAGGGAGACAGAGACAGAGACAGAGATAGAGACAGAGACAGAATGTTCTCAATTCAACAACATGGAGGTCTGTGTAATTTTCATCCACCCACATTACCCTCTTTGGGGTCGTCTCACCACCCTCCCCCTTTCCAAGCCAAAATTACTAAGTTGCAACCACATAAATATTTGTGGCCTTCCTTCATCGTGTAATCACAATCATGGTCCCTCCCCGAAGACCTGAACAGATTTCATATCTTTACCAAGAATGAAGCAACATTTACATATTCTCTTTAAGATCCTGACCTTTTCTTTAGCTCAGTCTGTAATCTTCAAAACTCTGGCAAGGATAGAACTGCACAGATGTCACAGAGTATTTTTTTTACCTCCTCCCAGGAATGTCAACAAAAATAACAACTCAAAAGGAATGCTTGACTCTACATTTTCTTTCCCACAATGAGTTCACTACATGGAGGCCAGACACTAGAAGCTCGTGCTTAAAAGAAAGTTTAAGTCTTACTCTAAAAACTCAGTGATATATTTTCGACTACATTTTGACCACATCCAGGGGTTGGTGTAGAAGTTCAATGTGGGAGCCATGACATGCTGGGGACTCTTCACTCCTTCCTCTTTGCACTTATTGTTGTCATCGTGAGGCATGTTGAACCTAAGGCCAAAGAGACAAAGATGGGAACATCAACAAACACCAAAGGATTGAGCTCTCATCATTGCTACAAGAATGCATCTAAGAGCAAAAAGTTAACTGACGTCTTCATTGTGGCTAAGAACCTACATCCTGGTGATCACAAGAAAACCTACTGGATGGTTTGAGGCAGAGTGAAGCATAAAACAGAATTCTCCCCCAATTTAATACAAAGGGCCTTTAATGTATAAAAAAACAAAACAAAACAAAAAAAAGGACAGTGGGCCATGATCTGGGTCAAGTGTATTTTTTGGAATTGCAGAGGCTGTGAACGTGCTATAGCTGGTGCTAGAAAACAGTAGTTGGAATTCCTAATAAGCTGTTAAAGGCCAATTTATAGAGTCAAGAATTTGGCCAAGTTATGATAGCATCGTGAATACAAAGAGTCAGTCAAGTGTCAAAACTTGAGGCCAAAAGCTTTCTAATAAGAGGCTCACTATGGGTCTTGGCATCCCTCCTTTTGGGTCCGGCTGACGAATGATATAACCGCATAGGTATATCATTATAAAGGAATGTGAAGTTCGTGCACAATAAAACCCATTAAGGAAAGCGGCAGGCGTGGAAGCCGGAGACATGCCAATTCAATTGGCTTAACGCAGACATGGCAAATAGTTTCATGCTTCCTGCCAACGCCAATTGATTGGTACTGGCTTCCTAAAAAGTTGGGCACAAAAAGATTCTAAAACTAATCCAGGTTCTACCCGAGAAAAGGCGATGATGGAGTGTCAATGTCCTCTGGGGCTTGGGAGGGAACTCAGCAGCAGCATTAACACATACTTGCCATTCTTGGCTTTGCCAGAGAAAATGGGGCCTGGGGGGGGGGGGGCGTGGGGAGGGAAGGACAGGAAGCATTTCTCAATCTAGAAACATCAATTCTATGACCCACATGCCATTCACAGCTCAGGTAACAAACCCCCAGGGACTGTCCTCTCTGAATGATGCTGCAGTCACAAAATTGATGCATGTGATTAATTTTGCATTTGGGGAAGAATTTGCATCATGAGTTCATCCTGAAATAGGGAAAGCAGCGAGCTAGGCAGAAGTGTGTGGACTTGTTTCACATTCAAAGCCCAGATAAAAGCCTATAAAATGCATTTCATTCATTTTCCTTGGGTTTGGTTTTCTTCTACGTTGGAAAAAAAAAAAAAACAAAACTTGGGCTCCTCAATAATTACTGCCTGATGGAGTAAATTCCGAATGGAAATTATGAGATAGAAAACCTTTATCTAAGTTCAAATTAATAGTTCTTCAGGCTTCCGAGTCCATTTTCTGCAAAGAATGACTGTCCCAGTTGCCAGTTCCCTGATGCAAAGTCACTGTCATTCTTATACCAACAAACCCAACACAAACAACACCCTCAAATCTTAGTTTTTTGTTTCCTTGTGGTGCAGAGGATCTGGTGTTTGTGGTTAAATTGCTTGATTAAGGCCCCACAGCTGATGGGGTGGGGGAGCTGGGATTGGAAAGCGCTTTAGTCTGACTCTAAAACCTGTGTTTTGGAATATATACAAAGCATATTCTCTCCTGTTAGACAAATTGTACAAGATTTGTCAGAAATACTGCATAAAGATCTCTGTATCTTTACAGAGTAGAGACTCAGTGACCTCCCAAATTCTTCCTACCTCAGAGCTGGTACGAGAATGTAGGAACTATTTTTGAAGCATCCAATGATGCTAGACGCACATAAGATCAATTGCTTTTTCCTCTCCAACAGGGTTTTATGTTGTCACACAGTCATGACTGTAACAACTTAACATTTAATCTTTAAAAAGGTCATTAGAAAATTTGCTAAAAAGTACTGTAGCAAATTAAAATATATATATACATATGTATATATGTATGTATACATATATATGTATATA